ATTGCCGGCAACTCTGGGAGGAAGTGGCCCGATTACTCGACGATGGCCATTTTCGGGAATTCCTCAGCGACCGAGCCAAAAATCGGTCTCGAGAAAAGGAAACAGCCAAAAGGGACAAGGCAGACGAGCCGCAACATGTCATCCACACGATCTTTTAAGACGGCCGCCACTAGCCGAAACACCGAAGTCCCCTCTAGTAGAGGGACTAAGAGATAAATCGACAAAAAATAGCAGCCGCGAGACCATTTCCAAGGTTTGAAAGCACCATCGCCGCTAACTATAACCATCTCCTTTTTATTTTATATTATATTCCATGCTGACCCTTACGTAGGTGCCCTACCGAAGCAGTCCAAGCACTGATCCAGCTCAAAGACGTTAAGATTTTAAAGCATCCGTTGCACTCTTTTCCTTCGACCGAGTTTTTATCCCAATAAGGGTTTTTACCGGCAAGGTTTTTAATGAGGCAACATCTACATTCTACCTAAGGAAGACTCGACAAGTATTCTAGGCTTCTTTTTGCAATCAACCCCGAATACTGGAGGGCATTCCCCCATGGTCCCATTAGTAAAACAATGTACCGGGCCAAGCGGTCCAATGAACCGTGCCTATGTAGTCAGTCCCCCGACAACGAAGTCATGTATACTTGTGTCAAGCAATCAAAGAATGCCTTTTGTCTAAGCATCTCATGCTCCAAAGGAAACTCAGCATTTTTGATAAAAAGATTCCTCCATCAAAGACGTCCCGAATACCCGCATGACCTCAGGGTCGGAACTCCAAGCTCATAAGCCCTCACGAGGAGGCATGAAAATCATGAAACATCTCCAAGGACAAAAGCGCCTCGAACACTCAGAGACTGGCGCTGATATCTCCAAAATCTCACGACCCCAGGGTCAGGATCTCCAAACCGGAAGCCCTCGATAAGGTAATACAAAGTTTGCAAATAACAGCTCCCGAGTCAAGAAACCCTCGACGACTCGGAAACTGCCGTCAAGCGCCACTTCCATCGATTTATCAAAACCCAAGGCCATAAGACCTCGAGCAGGAAAACTCGGCCTCGTAAAACGTACATAAGGCAACAAATATATCTATAAGACTTCAAGCAAGGTATGAACAATACTTGTACCAAGTATCCAAAACTGTAAGACGTCAATGGCATGTAAAACTATAATACCTCAACGACATGTAAAACTATAAGACCTCAACGGCATGTAAAACTTTAAGACCTCAACGGCATGTAAAACTTGTAAGACCTCACTAAAGTCATAGACATGATCCTAAAGTTTCAGCTATATATCGAACTTGTAAGACCCCTAAAAAGGCATACCCTTGATATAGATGCCGAAACTACTTCACTCGGAACTCAAAGGCTCCGGCCAAACACAAGTGACTCCGGTCACACGGCTGTACCATCCGAACTAACGTGACTTAGGGACGCCCGATCGCCACTACAAGGCGTAAGATCCATTGTCGCCAGCCCACACAGGCCTTCAATTACTCCGAATCTACTTTGGAAAGAACCGGTTAAACAGGCTACCCTTGGCATAGGCAAAAGAGCTTCGACTGTGTCAGCTCCAAATCACAGGCTTTGAGCTACTCATCCTCCAAGCAAACTTCCCGAGGTGCTCGAACATCGCCGCAAGTTGCTCGAAATTGAGGTTCTTCCCGAACTGACAACGAGTCAGGCAAACTTTACTTCAAAAGTCCTTAACGAGAGGAAAATAAAGCCTACATATATGGTCGCATCGACCAAGCGCGTAAGAGCCATTGTCGCTAGCCTAATGAGCCTCAGGGCCATACACACAAAAGGTCACATCGACCTAAAGCATAAGAGCCACTATCGCCAGCTTGAAACCTGAAAATTTGAGGGTCAAAACGAGCTCGAGTCGAAACCCGATTCAGAGACTTGACCCAAAATAGTTAACTATATATGCCTAAGGGCAAAGCGTAAGAGCCATTATCGCCATCTTACATTAGAAGTCCACTTCGGTCCAAGGCGTAAGAGCCATTATCGCCAGCCCACGCAAACGTAAAAGCCTGAGGGTCAAATGAGCACGAGTCAAAACCCGACTTGAACACTAAACCCAAAACGGTTGAACAAATGCATAAGAGCTCAAGCGTCAACATATACTAAAGGTTGAATCAACCAAGCCCGTAAGGGCCCCCCCAAGCCAGCCTAATGAGCCCCAGGGTCGTATCACCGGCTCTAAAGACTCCCACTAACTCAAGAGATCGGATTAATCTGGCTAAAATTTTGGAAAATGGAAACCCAGAAGATATGAAACCGCGAGGTTCCCCTCTTATACACACAGGTAATAGAATACAAGCTCCGTTTACAACATACTATGAAAGTTATATACACAAGAACAAGAAGGAAGTAAACGTCCCTCTTGGGGACTATGGCCCGGCGGCCCCGTCCTCGCCATCTTCGGTATCGGACAGAAGGAACTTGGCATCATACTTCTCCGCCTTGGCTTTCTCGATCTCCTCCAAAAGATCGAAACCCCTTTGTGAACTTCCTCGAGAGTTTCCCTTCGAGATTTGCAGTTTGCGTACTCTTTACTACTGCTCGCGCAATCAAGAATTCTCCTTAGCCCAGCTCTAGCAGTGCCAGCACTTTCCAAATAGGTTGTCGCTCTCTGATCCGCCCTCGTGCTACTCATCACAGCCTCGGCCCAAGCATTCACCACCTCAGCCTTCGCCTTCGAAAGCTCAGACTCGAGCCTCGCGATCATATTCGCGCACGCAGAATCACTCGCACGAGTGGTCCTGATTTGCATATCCAAGGTGGAAGCTTTAGCCAAAGCACTTTCCTTGGCATCAACATGGTCATCTGCATGGGCTTGCACCTCGTCGAACTCACGTTTGACCCTGCCAACTTTGCCTCAAAGCCACTCCAACTCCTCCATTTTGCTCTCCAGCTGAAAGATCAAAACGTTAACCTCCAGAAACAAAAGAAGGAGCATATGTCAACATGCAACACAAGATACCTGTCTCTCGAGGCAACTCTCGCAGTCCAGGCTTCGACCCGCCTCGCACTGTAAGGATACCAACTCGCTTTCTTTTTTCTCACAAAGAAGCTTAAGGGATTTCTCCCTATCCGAAGTTCTCCGCAACCGAGCCTCATAATGAAGTAGCTCGGATTTGAGCCTGTCGAAGGCTTGCGAAAGAAAATTCAATAAGAAAGGAAAGGCGTAAGGCCGAAATAATCCTATGTCGGCTACCAAACTCACCATAAAGCCAAGCCGCTGAGCCTCACTAAAAGCCGACCGAATATCCGATGGCTTAGTGTCCCCTGAAGTGCCATCATCATAAACGAGGAATGTTCTTTCGATAACAGAAGTCCCTGAAATTGAATGATCTATCGGTCGATTCTCTTGATTCGCTGAGAAGGACTCTCCCCGCTGCAAGCCTCCCTACACCCCGAAGATTCTTTTTGTTTGTTATCGACCCTCGACCCCAAGGTCGGCAGCCTCTCCTTCTCTCCTTGAGAGCACAGTCTCATTTCAAAAAATACCTCCGGTACCTGCGGCGGATAAGTTAGTACGTTAAAAAGAAAAACACAATTTTGGGGAAACAAGTCGCCAGGCGCCTACCGTGATGCTTTACCTCCCACCTCCATTTGGATAGGTCTCGCCACCTGCGCCTATCGTAAGTCGAGCAGGCTTCTAGCTTGCGAGACCACTCGGCCAAATCAGGGACCTCGTTTGGCAACAAGGGATTCGCTAAAAAAACAAAAACAGAAAAATATCATTACGGAGCCCTCTAGTCAAAACGATGAAAAAGGAGGTACGACGCTTACGTGTGAAGTTCCATTTCTCAGGAAAAGGCAGAAACTCTCCAGGAATGATATCGATTGTTCAAACTCGAACGAATTGGTTCATCCATCCATGATCCTCGTCCTCTACGCTGTTAACAACAAGAGCCCGGGTGGATCGACACTGCAGAATAATGAAACCTCGATAGCACAATGGCTGATATAACCTCACGAGATAACTGAGGGTAGACTCAATCCCGGCCTTATAGGCAAAATATCTTATCATCTGGACTATTTTCCAAAGGAATGGGTGAGCCTGCGCCAAAGTAACCCGCTCCAACAGAACTCAAGCACGACTCGATCGGGGGGACCCGATGCAAAAGTATGCGTTTACACATTCAAAAACCCCTTGACATAGGTCATGATGCTTTAATCAGAGGAAGGCACTTACAATACCATGCCTTCCCCCATCCACAATCTTTTCTGATCATCTCGAGGTTTTTCTCTCTCACTAATGAGATAAATTTTGATGCATGCTCCCGATGTCTTAGAACAGCGGGGGGTTTCCCCAACGTATCGTCTTTATCGAGGAAAGGTACCTCGAGGCCCGCTCACCGGGCATCGGAGGCGTACCACCGACTAAATGCGGAACGTAAGCAGAACTCCCCTCTCTTTAGTAGGCAGAAGTCGACGTATCAGTCATGGCTATGGTAAAATGAGAAGGGGGAGATATGAATTTGAGCAAAGCTTTTGAGTTGGAGCAGCGGAAGAACAAGCATAGAGCGTCAGGTCCTGTGGTTACTCAAAGAAGCAGAATCTCCACTTGAGAGGCGAATGAATGAATATATAGGGGCAGGGCAGCGGCTGCTCGCCTGCCCAGAGGGCCAATTAATTCTAGCTGCATTAACATCACCCTTTTTCTAGGGAAATGTACTGACGGGACCACCCCTGGGCCCCTTCACCAGATTGCTCGGATGCTACTATCCTGTGAAATTCGAAAGGCAGCGAGGCCTCAAGGGCTCCTCGCTATCACTTGCACCGGCCCTAAAGAAGCTGCCGATCTAACTTAGGGAAAGGACCCAATTTAGGGGTCCCGGTTGCTCTGGATACGGTTTTCGAAGAGCTAACACCTAAAGTCTAAGGTAAACTCCGCTCGAGCAGGGAGATAAAGAGAACGAAAAGACAGAGAGAAGAAAAAACCTTTTCTTTTCATTACCAAAAAATATATTTTTACAAGGGGCGTCTTCACAAGACTCACTCCCCGGGGGGTACATACACAGAAAGGGGGGACAAAAGCAACACAAGGCCTACTCTTCATCACTAGTGTCCCCTGAACCATCTTCGGGATCTTCGTCTTGAATGATTAAAACGCCAACTTTCTCTCCAGCTCCCAGGCCTCCTCGATTCCAACTGACAGATCGATGCCCCCGGCCTCGATCTCCTCCAATGTTTTTCTCCTCGCCTCCGCCCTAGCATGATCGATGGCCCGAGCTAGTTTTTGCTCAGCCTTTATCGATATGTCACAGGCCGTTGATATGTTATGGCTGCATCCTACAGGTAAGTGGCTAAATTTCTTTTGATCTTGGACATAGCCGCAACCAGCTCAGCTATCTCCTTTCGAGCATCTTTGAGAAGATCATGGGTCGACGTTAACTCCAAGGTCACTGCCTCATTTTATCTCCTCAGCCCGAGGATCTCCACATCCAGTCGCCCAATCTGCGAGCCATTTTGCTCGACCTACAAAAAGAAAAGCAAATCAGTCATCGTCCAACTATGGGAATAAGGGAAAAACTCATGCATAACAGAATACCTGCTCAACAAGGGCAGCCTTTTCTCGGAGTGCTCCCTCCAAAGTAGCACGGAGCTCACCTGACTCTTTCTCCTGCTGAATAGAACGAGCCTCCGACTCTCGCAGTCTCGAGGACAGCTTCTCGAGCTCCTTATTTCAATACGAAAGCTCATCGTTAAGCCTGAAGAGGGCATGATCGTACATCTCCTTGCACTACAGCAAAATAGAAGAGTTAGAAGAATGAATAAAGATTCCCGAGGTTAAAATAAATATACTTAAAGCAACTATCACCTATTGTATGAACCTCTCGGCCGCCTTGACGGAGCCGGGAGCGTCAAGATCGATGTTCCCACTGACATCGTCAAAAATATTGTCAAGCATGCCTCCCTCCTTGAGAGGACCCCGATTTTGGCGGCGTTCGTACCTTGAGCATCCCTTAGCTCCCCTAACAAAAATTGGGAGCTGAAAATGAAATCACCCACGTCTCCAATATCCCTGAAGTGCAGTTCCTGCTCTTGAAAAGCTCCAGGCCCCAACCCTTCAGGGCCAGCAAAAATGGTCCCCCCCCAATGGGAACTGCGCCAAACCCGGTCATGGTATCCAAGGCCACACTGACGCCCTTCTCAATTACCTCCGGCCTATTGGGCCGACCTGAGTCAGTCGTCCCCGATTCGGCAGCTTCCAGTCGGAGTACCCGCGGGTCTTTCGCGTCCGTCCTCGGCCTCTCCTCCAAGCGGTACCCGCTCATTAGCATTTTCACCATTAGTACCAAGGCTTGCCTCGAAAGCAGAAGTTAAGGTCCCAATGGTAGGTTTAAGCTTGTGTGGTTTGGGTTTCTTTGCCGCAGGAAGGTCGGCAGCCTCTAGGGGGTGGTCTTATCAGCATATTCTCACCAAGGAATGCACGAGCATAGCATCCACAACTTGTTAGCACAAGAAGGTACAGGAAAAAACATAGGGTTGAGGTGTAGGGGGAAAGAGAGACTTTACTATGATTCTTGGCCATCCACCGCGTCTTGGCCAAGTTGGTCCAAGATCGGGCAAGATATGGAAACTTTTTATCCAACCGCTAAATCCACCCAAGTAGATCCAAGACCGCTTCAGGATACCAAGCGGCAGCTGTAGAAAACGAAAAGAGGTTAACTTTTTTAGAAGAAAGGAAAGAAGATCTTAAAACATGCCCGAAGGAACTCACGCTGCATGTTTCACCTCTCCGGGAAAGGCATCCTCTCGGCCGGAATGATGTCCGAGGTTCTAACCTGGACGAACCTACTCATCTATCCCCGATCTTTCTCCTCTTTGGTGCTCCAGGAAAATGATTTCTTGGATCGATGACGAACCCTAATCAAGTCTCGATAGAACCGGGGCCTGTACATCTTGATCAAATGATTTAGGGTAAAGGTCTCTCCCCCAACCTTATCAGTAAAATGATGGAGCATCAAGTCTATCCTCCAAAAAGAGGGATAGATTTGAGCGAGCATCACCTGATATTTGTCGCAAAAGTTGAGAATGACCGGATCTATCTCCGGGGGAGGGGATCCGGAAAGCTCAGCCGGATTCAAAGTAAAAGAATAAGTATATACGTGGAGGAAACCTTCTTTGTAATCCGTTATTTTCTTATCAGGGCCAGGAATTTCCACCTCCACTGCCATCTTCCATCAGCAGTCCTTTTTTACCGTTTCCGCATTAGTCACAATGCTAACGTACCGGGACACGTGTTCGCATCGGCCCGGTATCGCAAGGGGTGTATCGATTATATAATCTTTCTACATGTCAAGTTTGGGTGGAGTACATTGTCCTAGAATGGGTATCACCTTCGTTTTCTCCTTAGACGGACGAGATAAAGAGGCAACTTCGTTCCGCCGAGGAACCGTCTTGGAAGTTCTGGCCATTGCGACGGTAACATTTTCTCTAAGAAAGTGGAAAAGAAGAATGTAGAAGAAGATGGGTCCAGATTCGCGAATTTATAGATGATGGGAAAATAAGGATTATCAAAATGTTATGGATTTATAGGAACCGCATGGGCAGCAGAAGGGGCAAGCCAATAACGGTTCGTGGATCTCTCGATAGTCACGTTTGACGGTGACCCTTGCATGATTTTTTGGGACATGGCATTTAATGCTCTGATAGGCTGACGTCACGGCAATGACGTCCTCGGAACGAAGTCTCAAAATCATTTCATATTACTTCGTTCTATGAAACGCGGAAACTATCTGTATATAGCGAAATCGGAGGGTCCAATTTCTCATCATTGAGGCGTTTCGGGGGATCATCTCTAGACCTCGAGGCTGCAAGGTTGTGGTCGATCTCCCTCCTTCAAGGTTCGTTGACGCCCGACCTAACGACAATATTGGCCGCGGTCACGATGGGAATTGCAAGTTCCCGAAGCATGCAGCTAGTACTGGCAGAGCGTGGCTCCATCTAGTTGTCCCATCCCCTTATTTTTGTAATTAATGCGTTTTTACTATGTTGGGATTCCCCTCCTATATAGAGGGGGTCTTTGACATTTTGTGTGGGTCGGTTATGGCTCCAATTGCTCCGCGAGAAATATCAAAAAACATTCTCTTTGCTCTCTTATATGCTCTCTTGATATTATGGCTTTCATTTATTGCCTTCATATTTGTTCATCGTTCATAGCTTATCATTGGCTACAAAGAGCTTTCATTGATTATTTCATAACTGTTAGTTGTACCCCGATTATCCTCAATAGCTCGTGGCCGAACCCTGGAATCGACCTCGAGGCCCAGAACCGACAAGCCCGAGGTCCCAAGTAACTGGCATATCGGTTTGGTTATAGCTCCCTCCTTAACTTCATTTCGTTTCTAGATCTCAAATGCTTAGCATCAACTCCTTAACAAACTGACATAAAAATAGATCATGTATTTTTAGAGTCCCATCAACAAATTTAATTGTTATTACCATTTTCACGGTAAAGAGTAGTTTTGAGTCCCATTGGTCACCAATTCTCAAGCTTTTAGTCTTTTACTCAGTAAGCAAGAAGAAAAGGAAGAAAGAAGAATTTATTAATTTTTGCTAGATTATCTCACATTAGTTGTCTTCACATTAATAATCACGTTTAGAGCACTCGAGACTAGATTGTAAGCTAGTCGCGTGAATATACGAAGGCTAATTCTCTCCATTTATCAATGGCAGACGAGAATATTGACCACACATCCACTTTTTGTGCATCCTTCTGATACCCCTATCTCAATTCTAATCCCATTTCCACTCAGGTTCAGAGATTATGGTCTCTGGCAGCAAATGATGCGTATTGTGCTTCGGGCTAAGAGAAAGCTGGGATTCGTCACGGGCACTTGTAAAAAGGATTCCCTTAAAAGGGAATTACATGAGTAATGGAGATATGCAAGGCAATTATACCCCCATGGATCATGAACACAAAAAAATCTAGTTAGTGGAAATGCTTATGCATCGAAACACTCGTCTATTCTGGGAAGATCTGAAGGACTAGACATTTGATAAAATTAAATCGTGTACAATTTTTTTTAGCTGCATCGGACTGTTAACACATATTTTATCAAGCTAAAAGAGCTTTGTAAAGAATATGATGCCCGTGTGCCTTCGCCTGGATGTGACTGTGAAGTCAAAAGATTATATTGAACACTCTTCTCATCAAAGACTGCTTTAGTATTTGAGTGGCCTAAACGAATCTTATGATCAGGCAAAGATGCAAATCCTCATGAAAACAATTGAGCCTACACTAAACCAAGCCTATGCAACAATTATTATGGATGAGAGTCGGCACTCAAGTATCCAATGATTACTGAGGATGAGAGTCAGCACTCAAGTCCTTTTCCAGCACTGGAAGGCAGGGGTAATCCGATTGCTATACAAGCTGGGAGGGGCCAGGCTTGCACGTAAAAGATTCCTTTCATGAAGTGTGATTATTGTAATAAAATTAGTCATGTCAAGGGGAATTGTGATAAATTAATCAGTTATCTAGCTGATTTTAAGGGTAAAAAGTAGTATACTACCAAAAATGTCACTAGAGGTTCACACTCTGAAATACAACTTCTATGATGCAGGGAACAACAACAACCCAATATAATCTCACTTAGTGGGGGTCTAGAGATGGTAGTGTGTACGCAGACCTTACCCCTACCGTGGGGTAGAGAGGCTGTTTCTAAATAGACTCTGAAATATAACTTCTATGGATGCAGGGAACAACAACAACCCAATATAATCTCACTTAGTGGGGTCTGGGGAGGGTAGTGTGTACGCAGACCTTACCCCTACCGTGGGATAGAGAGGCTGTTTCTAAATAGACTCTGAAATATAACTTCTATGGATGCAGGGAACAACAACAACCCAATATAATCTCACTTAGTGGGGTCTGGGGAGGGTAGTGTGTACGCAGACCTTACCCTTACCCTGGGTTAGAGAGGCTGTTTCCAAATAGACCTCCGGCATCCTTCCTTCCAAGAACTTCCCACCTTGCTCTTGGAGAGACTCGAACTCACAACTTCTTGGTTGGAAGTGGAGGTTGCTTGCCATCGGGAAAGAGTAGAAATATTTCTTTTGTAGGATATTGTTTCTTCGCTGAGGATCAATATAGACATTCTAAATATGTTGAACAAAGACACAACTTTGCATCAAGTGAACATTATTGCTATTTAATTGGTGGCTCATTATTCTTGTTCTCAGTATATAGTTGATTCAGGTGATTCCCACCGTATTACTATTTCTTTAGATATGTTGCAAACTTGGACTGAATTACCGTTTAGCTCTAGAGAGCAAGTTCATTTGCCTACTGGTGAAAAGATAACTATCACATATATTGGTAATGCAGCTTGTCTTAGGGACTTGACAATTAAGTGTTAGAACATGCGCAGCGGAAGCGAGCATACGAGCCAGGCAATAAATATATATAAACTAGACAACGCAATAATAACAGGATTAGAAGTACTAACCTCTTGAAATAGTTGCACAAATCCTCCAAACTGTAAGAATCCAGGGCTGCAGTCTTCTGCTATATGCCTGATAAAACCTTTGGACGATTTTGTTTTTGGATGGGCAAGAACAATACAACTAAAAGGTGAGTTATTAGGTGAAACTAGTCTTCCTTTAATAGACCCGAAATTAAGCCACAATAGGGGCTCAAAAACGTGTAGGATTCTGCAAGTAGAATCCTACTCTAACTCAAAAGGATAACTTTTCTCCTAAGTTACTTTTTACCCAAGTCTGTCCACGTTTTTACTAGGTATAGCATGGACCACAGAAATAATAAGAGGCTACTAATTATAGTAGTAATTCGAAATTAGCATGAATTAATTCTTACTATAATTAATTGCAATTTATTCCACTAAAAAACTGCAATTGAACTCCTCAATATAAATTTCAAAAATTTAACACTTATTTTAACTCCCAACGTTAAGATTTCAAATACCAGTTAATTAAATATAATTACTGAAAATTTAATTCAATTAACTAAATAAATCCTTTATAATTCCGCTTAAACTATTTCATGTGACGGATACAAAATTCACCGGCCGAGT